CGTCTGTTTTGTCCAGGAGGTATACAGCACGCACTGCATCGTCGTTCTGTGAACTTTTTTTTTTCTAGCTCCGAAGTAATTTCTTCATCGCTCCAGTTAATGTCTACACTGAGTTGCCAAATGAAGTAATGGATTCGCATTTCAGATGCAGTTCGTTGGCCGCTTGAAGGGTGAGCTGCCGGGACTCGATGAGGGGCAAAGCGAGGATGAACAGATCGAGGAGGACGAGTATGCTTTTTCTTTTTTTCAATTTTTCCTTGTTGCATGTGATTTCACGTAGTTGTGCTATACCGGCCCACGGATAATTTGGTTCAATTTCGCTGCTCTAATGCAATCACTGACTACATCTACTAAAGAAATTTTGTTCAGATTTGCCTTACAGAACTCTTTTGAAATGTGGACTTTTTTGAGGCAAGTTATCCGGGCTCGCTGCCACCGAAAGCTTTCGACCGCCAAGTGAACTGGATTAGTGCTTTAACTCCCAGATTTCGGGTTTTACATCATCACGGTTTCCCCTGGAGAGATGGATATCTTATTTTCCTTGATCATTTCGATGGCTGTTTTGCATTTAAGTGATCTCATTTTGCAGAGTTGACGAAGCCAGGCAGCACAAGAATGCTGATGGATGGTTTTCGGCCTTTCGTGCACTTGTTGGAAACAAAAAATTAACAGCAGAAGATATCCAGCCTGCGTTAGATAAAATGCGCGAAAATCTGATTTGTGCGTTTTTCAAAAGAAATATTTGCCAGTTTTTTCAGCCCTCTGCACTCTCAGTTTGAGTTCCTTCGTTGTTTTCCGAAAAACGAGCAGCCAGATTGCTGCTTGTCTCGTGCAATCACTGCTGCTGTTACCATCCCACAATATTACGGCCTAACCGGAGCTTAATTGTCTGCACTTCGGCGGCACTCGATTTTTGCCGTTGCCACTGGAATTGCTGGATGTTTTGCATTCCTTTCACAGCGTCTTCGATTCATCGTGCCTGCCTCCGATCGCCCAGTACACTGTAATTGCTGTTGGTCATTGGTGAATGTGCACGAATAACTGATCATAGAGAATCATTTAGAACGGAGGGCTGTTTCTATAGGAATGCTCGAATCGACACGAGAAGGGTCTATATGCAATGAACTGGTATTCTGCGGCAGTTCTCACTTGTATTGTTGAAATGATTCGTGCATGGTTGTAGCATACGAGTAATATGACGTTTCGGTCCATTAAGTCATATACGTCTTAACTCAACACCAAGACTGGACCTGAATTTTCTACTTACTGAGTGCTTTCCTATTGCCCACAGATGATACCTTTTAGCGAAGAATGTGGCAGCTGATCCTGCTGAGAAACTGTGTCAATCAGTTGAAGCAAAACTGGAAGGCAAGGTGGTGGGAACGTTCAGTCGTGTTACTAGTATCGTCAAAGAATCGGTCAGCGAAGCACTTGTCCAGGCAAGCTTCTTTCCTGTAGCTTTTAGTAACTGCTTATTCGTAGTTTTCAATACGCAGTTTTTTGGGGGATTGAAACATGGTTTTGATTTGACAGCCTTAATGAGTCCCATAAATTTACCGCTTCTGTTTATGCGTTTTGTGCTGTGTAACAGCAGTACAAAACGCATATTGTTACGGGGTTGTCTGTGTG